GTGGGCTGGGGTCACCTCTCTAGTTCTAGCTTGAAGATAATGTTTCTTTGTTGCCTTGGACCGTGATTTGAATTCAGTGATCGTGCCTCTTTTTTCTTCTTCGTATTTATATGATGAGGTGATTGCTTAAAGATGGCAATTCTCCTCTAGTACGACTGGCCTTGACACACGGTGTCCCTCCGCCATCCAAGCCGGAACCCCGGGGACCACGCAAGGCCCCTCCCTCTTTCTTACCACCCGCGCGTCTGGGGAATCACCTGTTGGCCATTCCTAGGTCTTCTTTGAAAAAAAATGTATATTCCTGTCCTTTGCCATCTTTTTAAAGATGTTACTTTTCTTGTGATCGAGTTGTTGAGTTCCTCGTATGTCTGGGAAGCCAATCTCATATCAGATAGACGATTTGCGAATATTTTCTCCTGTTCTGCGGGCTGCCTTTTTCATTTTGTTGACTGTTCATTTTGCTGTGCAGAAGCTTTTTGGTTTGATTGAGTCCACTTGTTTATTTTTGTTGTTTGTACTTTTGGTGTCATATCCAAAAAAAAAATCATCATCGCCAAGACCAATGTCAAGGAGGTTTGTTCTTATTTCTTTCTTGGAGTTTTATGTTTTTGAGTCTTAAATCTAGGTCTTTAATGCGTTTCAAGTTCATTGTTGTGAGTGGTGTAAGACAGGGGTTCAGTTTCATTCTTCTGCATGTGGTTGTCTCGTTTCCCAATACCATTAATTAAAAAAGACTGTCGTTTTTTCATGGACTATTCTTGGCTCCCTTGTTAAATATTAGTTGATGGTATTTGTGTGGGCTCCTAGTTCAGTTCCTCTAGTCTACAGTTTTGTTTTGTGCGAATACCACGTTGTTTAGGTTACTGTAGCTTTGAAATAGCATTTGAAATCAGGAAGTATAATGCCTCTAGCTTCGTTCTTTTTTTTTCTCTCAGGATTGTTTTAGCTATTCAGGATCTTTTACAGTTCCATATGAATTTTAGGATTTATTTTATTTCTGTGAAAAATGTCACTGGAATTTTGACAAGGACTGAATTGAACCTACACATGGCTTTGGGTGGTGTGGGCCTTTTAACAATGTTAACTCTAATCTATGGCATTGGGATATCTTTCCACTTATTTGTGTCTTCTTCAATTTCTTTTACTAGTGTCTTATAATTTTCAGCCTACAGATCTTTCACGTCTGTAGCTAAATCATTCCTAAATATTTGATTATTTTTGATGGTATTGTACATAAGATTGTTTTATTTCTTTCTTTTTCAGATAATTCATTTTTTTGCAAATATAAATACAACTGGTTTTTGTATGTTTTTTCCTTCAACCTTACTGAATTCACTTGTTACTCATTCTAAAAACTTTTAAAAACCTCTTTTTGAGTCTTTAGGGTTTTGTATATATATAGGATCATGTTATCTGCAAACAGAGGAAATTGGACATTTCGTTACTGATTTGCATGCCTTTTTTTCCCCTTGACTATTTGCTCTGGGGAAGAATTCCAGCACTGGGTCGAATAGGAACAGTGAGAGTGCGCATGACTGTCTGGTTCCTGGTCTTAGTGGAGAGATGCTCACCTTTCACCACTGAGTGTGATGGTAGCTGTGGGTTTGTCAGTATGGCCTTTATCATATTGGTATAGTTTATTTTTTATTGACTTTGTAGCTGTGCCTCTTTTGTTATTTTTTAGTGGTTGTTCTTGGCATTACCATATGCATCCTTATTATAACCTACTTAAGGTGAATATTTGATCACTTTACACTTTATTCTTTATACCTGGCTTTTTCCATTTTGTAAATAAAAGAAAAAGGTCACAACAGTTTAATTCCATATAAACATCCTACCCCTGTATTTTAAGCTACTGTTTTTTTATCTTTTAAGTCTTCATATATTATAAATTACAGAACCCATCATAGTGTTACTATTTTTACTATAAACTGTTATTTTTTAAAGGACATTAAGAGAATAAAATATAGTCTTTTATATTTACCTACACACTTACCATTTCTGATAACTTTTTCTCTTCCTGTTGATGTTAATTTTTATTTTGTAGTAATTTCCCTTCCACCTGAAGGACATTCTTTAGGATTTCTGGTAGTTCAAGTATGTTGGTGACTAATTCTCTCAGCTTTCATTTGTCTAAAAATGTCTTTACTTCATCTTAATGTTAGAAGAATATTGTCCTGGATCTAGAACATATTCTGTAGAGTTTCCGTCCTTTAAAATGTATTAAGACTCTAATTCCAATGCCTTAGCAGAGCATGGGCCGATGGGGCGCTTGCCTTGGTCGGGGGTTGGGGCAAGACCTTGGAGGAGCTGAGCTCAGACTGCTGATTCCTGGGAAAGGGAAGTGTTGGCGTGGCCGACAGGGCCAACCTGGCTGGCAAAACGGAGGCAGCTGGACAGGGCCAGTGAGGGTGGATGTCGGCCAGCACGGGCTGACGTGGGTCCCGACTTTTGAATCTCATCAGTTCTGTAGCTGGAAAGGACCTTAAAGCGTCTGTCACTTTTCAGAGGTAAAAACGGAAGCGTGGAAAGGCAACTTTCCCGCAGGCACAGGCACATGACGCCCGAGGTCCAGGCTCTGCAATTGTGTCTTCTCTCTCCTAGGACCCTTCCTTCCGCCTGTGCGCGGAGGCCGGGCCCCAGGGTGCTGCCGGACCAGGCAGCACATTCCTGAGAGCTCGTGTGTGTCCCCAGCAAGACCTGGGACAGCTTCCAGGGCAAAGGTGGTTCCCAGGGCTAAAGGAAATTTCTCCTTTTTCTTAGTTATCTAGGTTAACCCCCCACGGGCAATGACCTTGTAGCCTTGCCAACCCTTGAAAAAACAAGTGGCAAGAAGCGCTTTTACATAGTAGGTGCTGAGACCCATCCCCAGTGGAGGACACCAGAAAACAGGCAAATGAAGTCTTGGACCACAGACTTTGGACCCTGATACTAACCACGTTTTCTGATCGAGTGCCTTTCGTTACTGCTGTTCAGCTCTCGTTTCCAGTCTTTTCTAGGTCACAGTGTCCAAGACCAGGGGTGTGACTAGGCAATGCTGGGGTTTCCTTGGTTTAAATTCCATCTCATCGGTTCCTTGCTTTCTTCACAGGTTGGTGTGTATGATGAAGGTGTTTATGTACAGTAGTTTGGGCCCCAGACTTTAGAGGAACTGTCTGAACATTATCCTACGACGATATAGGATCATCGTAAAGCAACAGAGGTCGCATCGGCGGTGCCTCTGCCCATCACATCACGGCATTATCCGTGGGGCCCTGGGAGCCTCGGCGATCTGTGGACACACCGACCAGAGCGAGGCGGGGAAGGCGCTCAGGGGGCCGTCTTTTCGGTTGTGCCCCCAGCTGGCCGCAGCGGAAAGTGACGCCCCTTTTATATTCATCTTCAAGATTGCCCCTCCCTAGTGAGCCCCCCCGCAGAGCCCCCCCGCAGAGCAGGTCACGTGGCCTGGCGCTAGTGTCTTCACAGTCCAGAAACTTCGGACTGCTCAGGACCTGAATCAGCACACTCGCCTGCCGCCTCCTTGGGCCCGCACGCACTCCCGGAGGAACGCTTTTTCAGCGTGTGTGGTGCTGGCAGGCAGCCCCGCAGCCCTCAGCGGCCCCCCTCTTCCCCCTCCCTCCCCCTCTCTCCCTCTTCTGTCCTGTTTATTTTTTTTTTCTGTTTAGAATAACCACAACAGCCCGCAAGTCAAAGAAATAGGGAATGCATTGTGCTTTCAAACTAACAAACATTACGAATAAGCTCCCCTCTTTTTTTCTTATTTGTTTAATTGTAAAAAGCAGTATTTGCCTTAGAAAATGGAGTCTGAATCCTGGGCAAGTCCACTGAGGTGGGGTGGTCACTTGGCTGGGGTTTGTGTGTGTGTGTGTGTGTGTGTGTGTGTGTGTGTTTTAACAGCACAATTTAGAAAGTGACCCGCAGTCTCACGAGAGGGCTGGACTCTAAACACGAGAGAACAGAGGAGGAGAAGGCACAGGCCCCGGGCAGGGGGAGGGGCAGTGCAGCGCTGGCCGCCGGCCCGCAGCTGGTGTCCTCCCACGGCCTTGGGTCTCCGTGCAGCTTTGCCCTGAGCCTTGCAGGTTTCCACAGGCCGAGAGCACTGTTACGGTGCTAATGATAGCGCTCGTGAAGCACTGGCTGGGGGCCGTGAACATTTTATAAACCTTTTTAATTTTCTGCCGAATGAGAGACCTGCGGTAGGGAACCCCGAGAATTGGGACCTGGTGCTCAGCCTCTCACCCACCCAGCCCTGCTGACTCCACTGGCCTCCGACTCTCTCCCGCCCGGTCCTTCTGGTGGCAAAGCCTGAAGCCCGAAGTCCAAGCCCCCAAAACTTTCTGGCTCTGCTTTTCCATTGCAAATGCTCATCCTCCGGCTCCTCATCTCATTGCCTGCCTGGGGCAGTGCTGTCCTAGAACAGCCTGCCTGTAATGACCCCTGTTGTCTCTCTCTGGAACTTTCTCTCTGGCTCTCCAGCTCTGCTGAGAACCACCCCCTCCTACAGATGGTTTTGGACACCAGCAACTGGAAAAATAAAGCAGTCAATCCTGTCTACAGCTGCATGGGGCACAAACACTTCGTTTGTGACTGCCCGCTGGGTGTGATTGTCTCGCGTTTCTTTCCACCCTGAGCCGAGAGGCTTGCATTCCCGAACCGTCAGTGAAAGTCAGCCAGAGAGTTTAATTCAGCGAAGACATGGGATAACAGCAGTTTGAAAGATTGCCCTTTTCCTCCGCTCCTCCCTTGGGTGAGCCCAGCTGCAAAGTTAGTGTTGACCTCGGTCATCTTCTAAAGTTCCCCCTCTCTGTGGGTGCTTATATTTCCAGAGCATTCACCCCAAAATAATAAGGTTGCACTTTCTCCCCTGGTGTTCATTCAGGGCTGTTCGGGGACCCAAAGGAGTGGGTCTCCTGATTTTCCAGCACAGGGTGAGCAGAGAGGTTTCTTTTAAAAAGGGGTGCTGTATCTTTAAATTCTGAACGTGAACTTGGCTCAGGAAGGCCAGCAGTCAAGATCCAGCCCCTAGAAGAGAGAAGAGCTACAGATTCTCCATCCTCAGTCTTTGCGAGGGGACGGCCGTGCCAGCCAGCCAGCTCGGGCAGGTTCCTGGCAGCATGGCTGGGAAGCTTGGGGCCCTCCTGCTGGGCCTCGCCCTCGGCCTGGCCCAGCCCGCCTCGGCCCGACGGAAGCTCCTGGTGTTCCTGCTGGATGGTTTTCGCTCAGACTACATCAGCGACGAGGCCCTGGAGTCCTTGCCTGGGTTCAAGGAGATTGTGAGCCGGGGCGTCAAAGTGGACTACTTGACCCCCGACTTCCCCAGCCTCTCCTACCCCAACTACTACACGCTCATGACTGGTGAGTACCCTGCTGCCTGCCCGCCTGCCTGCCGGTGGGGAGGAGGGCGCCCGGGTCCGACTGACAGGGAGCCGCCGGCGCCCGGCATCGGGGGCTAATTTCAATGCGCAGGTTCCCCCAACCCTTTGGGACACCAGAGACAGGCAGGAAGTGTGTGTTCTTTGCCAAGATTTTTTTTTTTCATGTTTGTGTTTTTCTCCAAAAATCGTGTTGGATTCTCAGTGTGGAGAACAGAGAGCTACGTGACTAGATGATTTTAAAGGGGGTTGTTTGTTTTACACATCAAACTTCTAGCTCACTCTGTTGTGGGAAGTTCAAGTTTAGCCAGTCAACCAACAGGTCCTCCTGTGTCTGTACCACATTCCTCCGGTCCCCTTGCTCTGCGGTCGTCTGTCATCCTGGAGGCATTTGGCCTTGTTTATCGATGTGCTAGGCTGTGTGCATTAGCGTGGGTTCCTGGATTACTTGGAGGGAATTTGTCAGCCAGACCTTGAAGTATTCCTTAGCCATGGCCCTTGCCCCTTCGTTTGCCTTTTTGGGTCAGGTAACATAACACGGAGAAAAAAATGACCGTGTGGTGGAGATGCCCATTTTTAACTCCTAGCGTCAGTTTAAACAAACAAAACAGAACAACAATGCCAGCTACCCCAGACTGTCTGTGCCTGGGTTCGAGAAAGCTGGATTTTGCCCAAAGATGGCCTTCATCTGGGATGGCCAGAGAGCCAAAGCGTGTCCGTGAACTTGATCTTCTGCCTGAGCCACACCGCGGACTTTCTGCTCACACAGTGGGATTCCCAGCTTCCAGCTGGTTTCTCAGTGACCTTTGTGAGGGCCGGCAAGGCGCCCTCAGGAAGAATTTCGCAAACTGTCCAGGGGTGGTGTCAGGAATGCACTGTTATTCTTGCTGCGTATGCTGAGCTTTGCTGTGGGCTCTGAGAACAGGGGCGAATCTATCAATGATGTTAATGGGAAGGGGGGGTGCGAACTCTTGCATTGCATTACGGAGCTCCACGGAACGGCAAGGCCATAGGAGTCTGGGAAGACGGTCGATCTCTCTGACTGTCGGTGTGGCTACTCCATGCACATGCACATTACAATGCCATAAAATTGAAGGGGAAAGATACTCTGGAGAACTAGACACGAAGGCATGGAGAGGAAAGGAATCAGCCTGTGCATCAGCGAACAATGCGTTTGTTGATTGTGAGACGCTTCCTCCCCCAGCCGAGCAAGCGGCGCCTCTGGGACGCAGAGGACAAACAAAGGCCCCCCGCCCCGGTCCCGCCTTGGCACCCATCTCCCCTCGCAGGGAAGCAGTTTGCCGGCTGCTGGGCTGCACACAGACGGGACTGTGTGCCCCGGCCCGACCTCAGCTGCGCCCGGGCAGCGTCGCGCACGCACACCGCCCCACGCCGGTCGCCTCCCAGAGCCGCCCTGGCAGACCCGATTGATTCGTCATGAGCTGCCACGTGCAGTTTCCCCGTCTCGGGGGAAAGTGAACAAAATCCGTTTCAGAAAGTCAGACTCCGGGGAGTCAAAGGGGACCATTGCAGCCTCCACGGAGGGACCGAGCCAGTGACACGGTCTTTTGTTGGTCGGGGCCGCATTCCTGAGATGGGCACAAGGAGTCATTGGCAGTGGGACTGTGTCGCGGAGACATGCCTTCTGTCCTGGAACGGCTGTTGTCACTTGTCCTTTCTGTGCGGGGATGGCCCAGCGCCGGGAGGGTCTGACCAAGACCTCGCCTGCCCTTTCAGACCGAGGTCAGCCCGCGGGAGCTGTGTGTTACGCCTGCGTGTTTTTATGTATAATCTGATTGGAAAGACGGCTCCATATTTAAGTCGCCTTTCCCCTTTCTAAAGATGCAATATTAACGCAGGACGCGTCTAGCAAGGCTCACATCACGTTCACGTGCACATGAGGGTGGGCACGACTTCTCTCGCGCCTACTGACGGAGGGAAGGCTGGGAGACGCCGGCCGGCCGTGAAGCTGGGGGCGCCTCTGCCGTCCTGGCACCGACTCGGCGCTGCGTTCAGACTATGTCCCCCAATATCCGTGCTCGTTTTTCTACCTGGTGTTGAAAATTTCCTCTTTTTTTTTTTAATATAAGGAAGACTATAACCGTTGGGAATTACACATATGGTTTGAGCATTTGAACATTTTATGAACTAACAGAAGAATCATGCTAGATCCTTTTGGTGCTGGAAGGGGGGCTGTTTTAGGGTCCCTCGGAACTCATAGGGGAGACTGTGGTCTCACTTCGTTGTGTGAATCACTGCCCATAAGCCGTAAAGCTTCATGTTCTCTCTGCGTAAGGAGAAAAGAGAGGTTATTGGGAAGGACCCTGGCCTTGGACCTGGAAGACCTCGGCTGTGCCACCGCAGGGTCCAGATGATGTGGGAAGGCTTGGGACAAGTCACTTTCCTGCCTCAGTTTCCTTGGTTCCCGTCCTAATCCACCCAGGATCTCAGGTGCTGCCAAACGCAGACGTGAAAACATAAGCAACATAGAGAGAATTAGAAAAAGTCAGAGAACGAGGTGGCAGCCTCTTGGGTGGGGGGGGCTGCATCTAAGAAATAAGCACATGTCTGAAACTCCTAAGAGGAGAATTTTGTGGGAAGCTGCTGGAGCCCAGCTCCAGCAGGTCCAGGGATCCCCAACGGAGGGACGGTGTCGGCGGAGGAATGACACAAGAGGTGCAGTTTCAAGCTCAATGGCCAGGCATCTCTGCTGGGCTCTTGAGTTCTTTATTGTTATACAGTTGGGTGTGTACGTGTGGCATATGTGAAAGCAATAAAAAAGTGAGGTTTTTAAGGCATATTTGCTTTATTGTTATTCTGCAGAAAATAGGAAGCAGCTCTCTATTGCATATTATTGTGCAAGCTCTAGCTCCTAATCTTTGCAACTAATCAGTAACACATTTTACCACATTCTATAACACCTTAATTTCTTAAAGCTTAACTTGATTTTAATCTATATATTCTAAAGTTGCGAGCTGGGCACGTAGCTGGGCACAGGGCTGTTTTAGCTCACTGGCCAAGGCCATGCGGAAGGCTTTCGTGGTCAGTGTGGTCAGTATCCGTCTCTCACTTCTCACTTCAGCGCCAGAACCCTGTCATCCTGTGCAAGTAATAATCTTTGTTTGGCTCAATTCGGCTGCCTGCCATCCACCTTGGTGTTGATGTATTTTTATTATTTGTTTCTATCTTTGATGTCTGACTTTTTAGGCAATAAACACCATGGGGGTCCTGATCGCTTAAGCATTCATAGAAAAGGAGTGTATAATAATCTTTTGGATACCCATTCTTTGAACTCTCTAACCCACTTAGGAGGACACTCTGGTGGGGAGTCACTCTCCAATGAGCTGTCATTTTCTTGCTTACTTCTGAAGAACTGTATTTCTTCTGTGGAATTGCCATTTGTCCCAGTCCCATGGAAAATCACATAGACCCTAGGTACGGGCAGTAATACAATGATTAAGCAGAGGAGTGCCCAGTACTTTCCCCCTTCGTGTCTGCTGTGCGGACATACGGCTCCCTCCGTGACTGTGTCAAATGGCAGGGCTGGGCTGGCTCTTGGCAGGAAGCCACCTGCATCGTGATGGGAAATGGACAGTCACAAGAGCTGTAAGGAACCTTGGAAATCGTCTGGCCCGGTCGTTGGCGTGAAGCCACGGTGGCTGGGTTTATTTTCTCCTTCCAAATACGTTTGCATCAGGACACAGGCGAACAAAACTTCTCAGTGATCAGGAAGATCCATCAAACAAATGATTCCTGGGGACCCGGAGGATCTTAAAACAGGGCCTTTCACCCAGGGAGCCTGCATTCGAGGCCAGGACAGGAGACGCATCGAGTCCCTACTACTCTGAAATTGAATGACAAGGGCTGAAATGTGTCCCTCCAAAATTTGTACGGTGAAGTCCCAACACCCAAGACCTCAGAAAGGCACCCTATTTAAAGATACGGCTTTTAAAGAGGTTTTTTCAGTTAAAATGAGGTCATTAGCATGGAGCCCTAATCCAGTATGACCGATGCCTTTTAAGAAGAGGAGAGAAACGGCCACAGGAGGACACCACGAGAAGGCGGTCCTCTGCTAGCCAAGGGGACAGTTCTCAGCAGAGACTGAACCTGCTGATGCGTTTTGATCTCGGGCTTCCAACCTCCAGAACCGCGAGAAAGGACTTTCTGCTGTTTGGCCTCCTGGTCTGTGGCGCCTGGTCGTGGCCGTGCAGGCAAACTAACACAGAGAGACCAGTGGGCAGTCCTCTAGTGCGCTGCAGGGGACCAGAGGAGGGGACACCTTCTCCCAGCTGCAGCTGCACGAACCCGTCGTGAAGGAGCAGGGTGGGCAGCCGCAGGCCTGGCGTTTGCTACCCGTCTCTCTCCACGCGCATGCCCTTTCTGAAGGGCAGCGTGCGGATCGGCTGCAGGCTAGTTCAAATACAGCCGCGGGGAAACGGTGCTGGGACGCTTCCTGCCTGAGTCTCACTGCGGGTCTTTCTGCGAGGTTGCTCTCTTCTTGGATTAAACCCACGTTTGATTGGAGTCAACTTTGACGTAAAATCCAGGGAAGAGAACCAGTGGTTTGTTCGGCCCAGACCGTGGGTGAGAGAGAATGCGAGTCTGCTGTCAAGGAGCACGACGACGGCGTTTCGCCAAGGCCGGTGGCAACGCTTGTTTGCAATTCTCGGACACTTCCTTTTTAATTAAAGTGCAGATAACACTTATTATATTAGTTTCAGGTGGACAACATCGTGATTATGCATTCGTATACCTTACGAGTGATTGCTGCGATGGGTCTACCAACAGTCTATCGCTGTGCGAAGCCCTATTGGTATTATTGACCATGTTCCCTGCGCTGTGCGCACTACATCCTGCGGCTTATTACTGTTTTTTAACCAGAAGTTTGGACCTCTTATTCCCCTTCGCCTTTGTCACCCACCTCCCCCTGCCCCTCTGGCAACCATCAGTTTGTTCTCTGTATCTGTACGTTTGTTTCTGTTT